AGCTTTTTTCCCCTTCTCTGTCCTCACAATGATACATGTGGAGTTCATAGCCAATATGGTACAGGGTGGTTATCAGTTCCAGTCAGATGCTATGCAAAAGAAAACCTAGGAGGAAAGCCAGGGACCCCTCTAAATCTCACTGCTCAGCACTAGAGTCCTACATGCACAGCCTGCTCCTTTGTTACTGCCAAATTTCCAGATTGAAAAGAAACTTCAGTGTGAGTACTGGCTGTTTTGCCAGCGGTGTTATACCCTCTGGCGGGAGGAAATAGCCTGTCAGTGGTTTTCAAACTGTTTTGTGGCATTGTGGGGTTCCTGGATAGGTTCTGCAAAGAGCTTGGGGGAGATGGCAGAGTGGGCTGGGAGGTGGTACACCACTACTGCTGAGTCGGGTCACCTGGCTCTGCACCAGCTCACACAGCTCCTGGAGCCAGGGGTGGGATTCCACGGCACAAAAATAATCTGGAAATGTTCCTTGGCTTTAGGAGGTTTGAAAACCACTGGCTTAAGTGAAATATGAGCTTCCCGGCCACTACATTTCTGAAAAAAGTGTGCCTCTGGTGATGCAAAGCACAGCTACCAGTGCTCATAATGGAGAGAAGAGCTAAATTGGCCTAGCTGCTGAATGGCTGATCTGAACTGCTGAACTGGAACCGGAGGATGACTGCACCTACACCCACATCTGTGCCCCTATTGCAGTCTATATGCAGTGCGCCAGTGAAGAAGCGTGATGCACACAGCCACCATCCCCATGGACCGGGAATGGGACGTTGAACAACACTGGCCTGTTAAAGCTGGAGCTGAAAAAGACAACGTTTGTGGATCAGGTACCTTAGTTTGACTTGCAGACCTCCTGGGTGGCATCTTGGCATTTGGAATTGCTCCATTTCTTCTTGTAATGCAAGTTAGAGACTGTGGGTTAAAATCATCATGAGCCTTTTCACATGTGACCTCAGAGTGATTTGAGCAGGGGAGGGAGTGCTCAGAGGGCACCACTGCAGGGTTTGTGCTACATCTCCCAAGGCATGAGTCTGAGCATCACTCAGGACTCATGCTACAGGCTGCCCCCAGTTAGCCCAGATTTAAATCCAGACCTGGTTATTTGGGCGGTTGAGGCAAAGGTGACTGGACACTTCTGGCCAGTGGCCACCTCATTTCCTTGCACACTTTAAGGACCCTGGCTGCTGGGCTCAGAGGGGACTTTTGACATTTTGACCCAATGCTTAAACAGTCCTTGCCTTCAGCATGGGAATTAAGCTAGTAGCACAGATAGCTGGGAGGCTACTCATTAAGTAGGACTGTATAGTCCTATGTACCTGCTCGTGTCTAGCAGTGTGTTAGTATAGACCTCTTCAGCAGCTTTGGTAGCACTGAAATCATTGGAGCCAGAGCACGTGTATTCCCTCTTAAAGGTTTATTTGCTAAAATGGTCAGACGATCACTCCATTAAATATTAATGGCAGGTATTATTTATACAATATAACACTGAGTACTCAAGCTTTGCATAGTCATACAGTCTGCATTAGCTACTTGCCTGAAGCTTATGGATTGCACCTATAAACAAATGAATGTGCAACTGCCCTCAGCAATAAGGTAATAACATAAAAGCAATAAAGAGCTGGATGTCAGAAAGGGCACAAGTGGAAGAATAATCCTGTGTTTAAGGCACTGGATAGAGAAGCTGGACATACTTTGTTTCCATTGTCACCTCTGCCACAGACTCACTACAACTTTGGAAAGTCATTTCATCTCCATTCCTCATATTCCCTTCTACAGGATAAAGATAGTACCGTACCTTCCTGGCTCACTGGATGTAGTAAGGTTGCATTCATTAGTGTTTCCAAAGCACTCAGGCTGCAGTGGGGACCAGAGGAATTTCTACATATTTAGAGCCCAGCATCCAATGCTCTATTTTGGTATCTGGGCCATGTCAAAGGCTGTTTGGCTTAAGGACGGCTCTCAAACCTTCCCAGGTAGAAGTTGCTTATCTCAAGTATCCGTTGTTTTGCCAGGTTCTCAGAAAGGCTCTTCCTGAGGAGAGAATGGCTAGCTGAGCAGGCCTGATATATAAAGAGCCTGGTTCAGCTCTGAGCTGAAGGAATGACCAGTCTCCTTTGCTTGTAAGTCTACTCTCTGGGAATACAACAGGAAGAACCCTAAGTTTTCCAAGAAGGTACATGTAATAAGGTGACAAGGGTGTAGGTTGTAGCCATGTTGGTCTAAGGACATACGCAGGCAAGGTTCTTCGGGTAAATCTGATATCTTTTCTTAGACCAACTCAAATTGTTGGAAAAATTCTTGCAAAGGAAATTTTTTGCAACTATTTGGGTTGGTCTAATAAAAGATATCAGATGTACCCAAAGAACTTTGTCTGCATAAGGTGGCAAGTGCCTTTAAGGAAGAGGAGTCCTGGGGATAGCAGCCATGTTCTAGTAGTCCCACTTGCTACACCTGTGAGGATTAGATTTAAGAAGGAGAAAGGCCAGCAGTTGGAGACTGGTTAAGGGGGCGGATAGGCAAGCTCCCCGTATGAGAAGTAGGAAGCCTTATACATAGGAAGTGACAGTAGACTGTGGCCTGAGAGAAGAGCTGGGGTAGGGCAACTGTGTTGATTATCACTTGGGAGAGTTGGTGAGGCAGCAAAAGAAGATCTTCCTGCTGGGCCAGCCTACAGAGAAGGGGGATCTGTGGGGCCTCAGACAGAGGCAGAGGGAGAAAAAAATTTTGGGGTGGGGGTGCTGA